AACGAACCATCACAATCACTCATTTTAATGTTAGATAATAATAATAATAATAATTAACAAAATTATGTAAATCTGATGATTTTGGCTACTGTAGTATAATGAGCCCAAAGTTTTTTAATTTTTTGAAAATTAGATGCCAGGCCCTGGATTTTACGCATAAAGCATAAACATCACATTAACCAATCTGACCTCGACTTTTAAACAGGGGGTTCCCCTTTAATAAACGAATTTTAAACAGGGGTTCCCCCTTTGTCAAGATATCAAGAAATTTCAAGATTTCTTGAACCAAGACAAGAAATCAACTCTCAAGAAATGGTCGAGACAAGATTTTTTATATATATATATATATATATATATATATATATATATATATATATATATATATATATATATATATATATATATATATATATATATATATATATATATATTGCGGATTTTTACGACATTCGTCGTCTCCCGCTTCTCAACTTCCACAGATTTCTGTCTGTCCAGTCTTTTTCCTGAAGGCCCCTAGAATTCATAGCGTCAACTACGCCCTGCTTCCATCTTCGTGGTGGTCTTCCACGTTTCCGCCTTTCGCTTGGTGTCCATGAATGAATTCTTTTCGGCCATCGGTTATCATCCATTCGTTGGAGGTGTCCGTACCAACTTAGTATTTTGCCGTCAATGGCGTCGAGAATAGTTTCTTTTTCTCCTATAATTTCTCGTATTCTTTGATTTGAGATGTGTTCTAGTCTTTAAATGCGACAACTTCTTCGCCAAAAATCCATTTCAAGAGACAGCAACTTATTTTTCTCTAATTTGTTTAGCTCCCACGTTTCAGCGCCATAAGTGGTGGCAGATTTTTTTTTAATTCTTGAAAATATTTCAAGACAAAACAAGAAATTGCTGGTCAAGACAAGATTTCTTGTCTTGCCGATCCCTAGTGATCAGTTTCACCCCCGGATATCAATTTCACCCCAAACGACGGTATAAATGTTTATAAAAAAATCACCTGTTGGATCAACTAATTAGGTATGTAATAATAATCACTGACTAATTATTTTTCTGACATCTTGATAAACAATTTACATATCCAAGCATATCAATTACTAATTGATGTGCTAATTTCAGATTTATTATCACATCGATTACATGTATTTATTTGTATATCAATCGATCGGAACATTTGTCTCTGTGCACCTATCTTCGTTTTATCTCAGTCGGCTGCGGCATTTAAGGCACGAAAAAATAAAAGCGAAACGTGTTTAATAACATTAACGGTCTACCTCGTCGCCAAGGTTAAACTGGTATCTGAAGTACGACCGGGCGGTACCTACGTTGCACATCTACAGGGTGGACTGCGAAATGTGCATTCTACTATTCTACAAGAAGACCAGTCAATGATACCATGGGAATAAGAAGAGAATCAGAAGAATAATGAGAAATAGGGCTATTAGAAGTGGTGAATGGCTGTATTAAGACCACCGCTATATTATTATTATTATTATTATTCATTTATGGCATAAGAGCAAGATTTGATGGACAACATAATATAGTTGTGATTGAATTAAATAATGTCAGTTCTTAATGAAACTAACCCTGAGTCAGAACGAACTAGCCAATAAACATGATTTAAATTTGCAGTTCATGATTTCAACATTCTTATTGGCCGACCCACTATGAATAACGAAGCGATCAACCTTGCTTGAAATAATTGGTTATTCTGATTTTTTTCGTTTGATTGGCAATAAATTTAAGAAATTAGAATATTTATCAGCTGTTAACACCAGCATCAAAAGAAACCATAGATGATATAATATGATTAATTTTTTAAAGATATTTAAATTGGTTTGTGACTAACCAAAACGAGATGAAAAATAAATTGATTTAATCTGAAAAATTTCTAATTTAATTATTGAATAATTGTATTAAAAATACAGTTCAGGTTACGTGCCCGTAATAATTTTGATTATACAACTCTATATATATTTTTCCTATATAGAAGGATGTGATTAATAATTGATAATCATTTAAGTGATTATCGCTCGGTGGCCATACTGTAATTATCATTTTTTGAAATATTAATTCAAAAGTCATTTCTGTCAGTTCCACAGGCAAAAGAAAGATTTGGTAAAAGTTTGTTGCCTCAAGTCGACGATGCTATTAAAAATGTGAAGCCTTTATTTCGTTGTATAATCTTTTGAATACAACTCGATGTTTCGGGATTACCTAATACTTTTGCCTGACACTCAATGCGATACTGGCAATTGCGATTGCCGGGTAACGGTAGGGTTGCCGGGTATCATTTCATATCAGGTATATTCAATAAAAGGTAATATTCAATAAAATATACTTATTTGACAATTTGGCATTCAAATAGTTATATAATAGTTATTAATTATTCATTTAAATACTTTTAGAAAAAGAAATCTTTCATATCCCAAAAATCTTATTGTTTTGATCTATAAGTATATCCTTTTCTAATATATAATTTATTTATCTATATGAATTATTGTACAAACTATGTGTTAGAAACTATTTAATTTTGGACTAATAATCTTAACGTGTTTCATACACTTGTTTAGCTCCTATGCCATTCAAAACAAATACACTTCTAAAGTACTATTACAATAGTACGCTGAAATTAAAGGGTTCTTATAAATTTTGATTCATTATTTTAATCCAATTTTGAAAATAATATAGTCTAAACATTGTGAGTTTTCTTCCTAGTTTTCTTTCTTAGTTTCCAATCTTCTAATTTTGATTCGTTCTTTTGATTCATTTCCACAAAAACTGAGACAAATGGAGACTAGTAGGTACCAAGTGAACATTTTATTCCTTTAAGGGAAATGTGTTCTAGGTGACGTCGGTGTTACGTTACCAGGCCCATCTTTTGCCTAATATGAAGCAATCAAACGCAGATATGTAACTGTTCCCTAAATGTGACAAAACTTTTCTTACTGGGTAATTGAAACTACACAAAATCACAAATATCTTGCTGTTCTAAAGATTTATGATTAATAATTACAACCCTTCTTCTACAGGATGAGTTTCCTACGATGTTCTCTATGGGTATCTCGGAAACTACGGGAGCTATAGGGACTATTTAATTTTGGGGTAATAGTCTTAACATCGTTCACATAAAGTTGTCTAGATTGTATACTAGAACATTATTATTGGAAAAAAAATGTTTTCAAAACCAAAACACTATAGCAATAAAGTATTATTAGCAGTAGCTTTATAAGGTTGCGAAAATTTTTGATTCATTATTTTAATCCAATTTCAAAATAATATAGCCAAAACATTGTTAGTTTTCTTCCTAGTTTCCTTTTCCAAGCTTCTAATTTTGATTTGTTCTTTTAATTCATTTATTTCATTTTCTACAAAAATTGAAATAAATATAGAGCAGTAGATTTGAAGCTTCACAAAATCACAATTTTTTTTTATTTTCTTCTAAATTTTTGATACCTCTCTTCTAAATATTTCCTATATAGTACTAAAAATACTTAAGTATCTAGACATAAATGACATTCATACACATCACTGCTTGTAGATCAAGACGGTTATTGTACAGCGGAACCTTACTAATAGACTAATAATTGACTGGCATTCTATTAAGTGTTCCTTTAGGTACTCAAACAATCTAATATTGTTTATTCCGAAGATGTTATTGTTTTGATCAATATATTTAGTTCATACACAAATCACAAAAATCTTGCTGTTCTAAAGTTATCATTATGATTTGTGATCAATAATATCATATTCTGTATAATATTTCCTATATAGTACTAGAGAACATTGATTCTAAACCAATGATTTTAAACCAATGATTCTAAACCAAATTAATTCCAAAAAAATGGCATTCATACACATCACTGCTCACTACTTATTACACAAGACAATACACAAGACGGGTATTGTACAGCGGAAGCTTACTAAATGTAATGATAGAATGTACTCATAGACTAATAATTGATTGGCATTCAACTAAGTGTTCCTTTAGATACTCAATGTAGAATTACATTGAGTATTCTACATTCTAGATACTCAAACAATTTAATCTTGTTGATTCCTAAGATGTTATTGTTTTTAGCAATATATTTAGTTATCTATGTCAATTAGTACACACACTATGAGCTATAGAAACTCTTTAATTTTGGGGAATAGTCTTATAGTCGTTCATACATTTGTCTAGCTTGTATACTATAACATTATTATTGGAAAAAAAATGTTTTCAAAACCAAAACAGCTCTAAAATAGCTGTAGCAATAATGTTGCATTTATAAGGTTCCGGCAAATTTTGATTCATTATTTTAATCCAATTTCAACATGATACAACCAAAACATTGTTAGTTTTCTTTCTTAGTTTCCAATCTTCTGATTTTGATTCGTTCTTTTGATTCATTTTCCACAAAAATTAAAACAAATAAAGACTAGGTAGTAGGTATTTGAAGCTTCACAAAATCACAAAAATCTTGCTTCATTTATGATTAATAATTAGAGCCCGTCTTCTATATATTTCCTATAAATTACTAGAGACCATTGATTTTCCAACAATACTGAAGTATCTAGACAAGTGTAAGCTTACTAATGACTAATAATTGACTGGCATTCAAATAAGTGTTTATATACTCAATGTAGAATTACTACACACAGTCCAATTATTACACACATTATGAGCCATAGAGACTAATTTTGGGGTAATAGTCTTAACATCGTTCATACAGTTGTCTAAAAAAAGTTTTCAAAAACAAAACACCTCTAAAATGTATATAGCAATAATGCTGCATTTATAAGGTCCCGACAAATTTTGATTGATTATTTTAATCCAATTTCAAAGATAGGTATTTAGCCAAAATACTGTTAGAAAAGTTCTTCAGCTTCCAAGCTTCTAATTTTGATTCGTTCTTTCGATCCATTGTCCACAAAAATAGAGACTATTAGATATTGAAACTTCTTAAAATCGGTTTGTTTCACTGTACAACATCTCTGTACATCTCCAAGTAAATCTTTACCTTATGATGCTGTATCACAGCCGAGGCTTTCCTTTTAGCAGACATGTTCCTTTCCTTCTCGAACAACTACAACACCGCAGATTCGCACAACTTCCTCAAAGATATTCCTTTCAATCCATCTTTAACCACTTTACTCCCAATATAACACACCAAAAACTACCCCTCTTCGAGACACTCAGCGCCTTATTATGTTGTAGAACCTAGAAACCGGGCCGCGTAAGATTGAGGTTAGGAAGCACGATGGATCGGCGTGACGTAAAAAGCATTACGACCGTCGGATCGCCTGCCTGGGCACGACTGAGGCGGCATTGGCGCAGATTGAGGGGGGAACACATAACGGGTAGGTGTCGGCGTCTTAAGGCATGCGTGCGCTCTTTTTCGACCGTCCGTCGCGACGCTGTGGGGAACAGACGGGGGGGGCTAGGAAGAAGAATGACAACGACGGCGAGGGGGGACTTGGTGGAGAAAAAGTCCAGGTGGATAGGAAAGGAGAAGCAAAGGGGAAGTGGTCAGTCGTTCTCGAGTTCGGACGTTGCTGTAGGGTTTGTGTTTTTTTTGTAGGGGGTGGTTGGTGGTGGTGGTGAGAGGTTTTCTTTTTCTTGCTGGTTTTTGTGGGAGAAAGTGAGGGATTGGAAAGGAGGAGGGGGTTTCGTTTGGAGAGTGATGATGCGAGTTTGGACGGTGGGGGGATATTTTTTTAGTTTTTTTTTGTTGTTTGTGTAGTAGTAGCAACACGAAACTGGTGCTTTACTTTGCTGCTTCAATGTAAATTCTATATATTCAAGGCGATATATATATCTTAAATAGAAACAATAAAAATGCATACAGCAATTCAATATTGGATCTCTTCACTTATATGCGCAAAAACAACAAAACGATTTTTTAAAAATAGTGATAACTATACTAAGTATATACAAGGTGACGCAACTCATCCGTCTCGGTTGATTATACGAAAACGGAAAGATGTAGAAACAAAATTTTTTATGGGTATATAAAGCGAGGCAATGTGCATAATTTAAAATTATTTTCAAATGTACAGGGTGTGTCAGAACTAAGATCCATACCAAAGTTAAATTTTTTCTTATGGAACAGATTTCATTTTTGGATTCTTGGACATAAAATAAGGCATTTATTATAAGGGTTTAATATGTTTGAATGCTTTGGTTGTGAATGGTTGTGTCAAATTCTATAGAATCTGTATATTCACAATTAATTGACATTTTATTGAAAAATTGCTTTTTATTCAAAATCTGAGCGAGATAGATATAGGAAACCCTAATATAGTTTGAAAGAGCATTTAAATCTGCTTCGAGTCACTTTAAAATATACATAGTGTTGCATTTGAAATAACAAAAAGTTTTTATGTAAAATAAATATTTAAAATAGACCAGCAGGTTTTGATACCCCTTGTATACATTTCAAAAAGAAAGAATTTTCATTTATTTCAGAGAGCAATCAAAATTTTTAGTAAAGTTTGTTTCTCTGGCTTAAAAGTCAACACAAGAATTAACTCCGAAATTTAACGTACAGGGTATTGACAAACTTTTTTATTATAGCATACATATTTAAATACCTATCTTTAAATATCTAAAAAACCAAAGCATTCAAACATATTAAACCCTTATAATAAATGCCTTATTTTATGTCCAAGAATCCAAAAATGAAATGTGTTCCATAAGAAAAAATTTAACTTTGGTATGGATCTTAGTTCTGACACACCCTGTACATTTGAAAATAATTTTAAATTATGCACATTGCCTCGCTTTATATACCCATAAAAAATTTTGTTTCTATATCTTTCCGTTTTCGTATAATCAACCGAGACGGATGAAGTGCGTCACCTTGTATATAGTTAGTATAGTTATCACTATTTTTAAAAAATCGTTTTGTTGTTTTTGCGCACATAAGTGAAGAGATCCAATATTGAATTGCTGTATGCATTTTTATTATTTCTATTTAAGATAATTCTAGATAACAATGGCAAGAGAATTATTGAACTCTCATTGTTTAAAATCAATGACACACTCGTGAAAATAAAAATACCTATATAGATATCTACAATGAAATCGATAATATATTGTTTCAAAGCACTAAAATACCGTATGATCGAAAAAAACCACGTCCAATTGGCTGGGAAATGACGATCGATGACATTTCCCATATAAATTTATATATAAAATTACAGCGATCTTCATTTCGTAACCATCGCTGACGCCGTTTTATCTCGATCATGTTGTATATTATATGAGGGTAATTTAAATGCATTGTTATTTGTAATTTGATTGTTATTTATTTAAAAAAACTCTTTTACATTTCATTTAAGTTCAAAATAAGTTGTTCGCATATACCAAATATTACAATCATAGGTGTAAAATTAACCGAGTAATTAGGAAATAACTTCATAAAAGAACTTCGTTTTTCTCAAAACTATGTTTTGTGACTTAATATAGTTTGCTTCTGGGGTACAGATTAAAGGATTCAATCCCGACGTTTTTTATCGGATTTTTTCAATCTCGGGATCCCGGGAAAATAATGACAGATCCCGGGATTTTATATAATATAGTAAAACGCTTTTTTTAAGGTTGTATATGCAAAAACTCTTTTAGTTGAATTCCTTATAGCGCCGCCGCCGCGCGCCGCCGACAAGTGATACGCCGGTGATTCCCGGAATAATAAAAAACTTTTGAAACAAGAAGTAGCAAACCTCTTAAAACGACTAGATATAACAAGTAAAATCATATTAGATTCTGCAGATAGTTCGGAATCGGATGAAGATTTGCCAGTTGCTACTATTCAGAACAGGTACCAGGCCTTAAATGATGACGTGTCATTTTCGGAGAGGCTAGATGAAGCGTTAACCAAAAAAATGTCAAATAGAATGACAGTGCCACCAGTAACAAAAACTGAAAACTTGGAAGCCCAAATAAAAAATTAAATGGATACGTTCCAGAAGAGTGGACAACGTGGAACAAACTTACAACAAGCTTTTGATTTTTTAAGTACAATATCGCCTACAAGTGTAGAATCGGAAAGCTGTTTTTCGTCAGCAGGCTTGATAGTTACAAAATTTCGTTCTGCTATGGCACAGTAGACTTTATTTTTTTAAAAATATGGAATAATATTATCAGTCCAGTTTCTTTTTTGTTTTGTTTGAGATTTTTAATGTTTGTTTAATGTTGTTTAACAAGAATATTTACTTATTTTCTGTTCCAAAGACTTTGTTTTTGTTTTAACTAATTAACGTTAATTTTAATAAAATGTTCTTTGAAAGTAACATTGGTAACATAATTACTGAAATCCCGAGATTCGGGGTTAAGAATCCTGGGATCCCGACAACATAAAATTGTCCGGGATTGAATCTCCTAGTACAGATATAGTTTCAATGTAAATATTCATACAATAACTAAAAAACTGGTCATAATAGCTTTTTTCCATAGCAACTGTTAAAATTGCCTTACATCTATCAAAAATAGTAGATAAAATAGTATTTTAACCGCAAGTTTAGATTAAATGATACTTTAACAGCGAGGATAGGTTAAAAACTTTATTTCTTCTTGCACGTTTTTTTAATTGCTTCCATTTTTGAAAATTTTTGTATTCCTTTTCAAAAGTTATTCGGGATTTAAATGGAAGTAGTTTGGATATGGCGTTTGTCGCCTCAGCCTGAATATCTGTTGGTAATTTACTTATTTCGTTTTGAGCCATTTCTGGCTCCAATTCAATCAGCAATCGACACGAATGAGAATTAAAAAATATTGACTCAAAACTGACAATTAAAGAGACAGCTTTATTTATTTGTCAAATTAAATAGAAACCAACGCCAACCCAGCACAATATTTTTTCTACTCGTAATAAATTCCTTGAAATAATAATTTCTGAATATTTTTAAAACGTAACTCGCTATGGAAAAAAATATTGTTTTATACACGACGATAAAATTGCATTATCGTCTTCCGAAATCTTTTCGGTCGACGATAAAATACCATTTTATCGTCTTAAAATACCATTTTATCGTCTTGTATAAAAAATAACTATTATTGTCCCCATCGCAAGAACTCCACCACCATAACCGCATGTAGCCGGAGCTCAAAGTTGAATCGTGAAATATCTTCAGCGCGATCGAAACCATTAACTTTTAATTGCCCGTTTTTCATCTAACACAATTTTTCCATTTCCAGCCGGCACTCGTCTGGTTCTAGCCTGCGGACACCCCAGGAGATTCCCGTCCGGCAAACCCGTCAGCGTCCCCCATCATCCAACTAGGACATCCAAGCTCCCTTCCTCTTGCTTTCCTCCTCATCACTAATTGACGCACCGACGCGTTAAACCCTCCAAGGAGGGTTTCGTTCGTCTATCTCTGTCTTTCACATATATCTGTACCCGTCTGCTTGTTAGAGAGGGGCAAATCTGTTATTTTTATGTAATTGTTACAATCGGAAAGAAGAAATAGCCACCTTATGTGATAGTCAAGCAGCCTTAAAAGTGATCAACTCAGTCGTCATCAGTTAGAAGTTGGTCAAAGAATGCTTAGAGATAGAGAAGCTGAACAAAATAGGCAAAGAAAAAAATAGTCTTCATCTTCATACTCTGGGTGCCAGCCTGTGTTATTTCATTTTCATTCAAATTTTTGAAATTGATTTTCCCACGAAGACGGTTAAAATTTCCCATTTTTTCTAAAAATTCCCACTTCTTCTGTTTCTTGAGTTTAAATCCAATATAGTGTCGTCAACACAATATTACGTTTACTATTATGTTTTTAATTAAAAGTTTAAAAGTTTTCCGAGATATTCGAAACAAATTTCAAAATATACTTTTCATCTTTTTAGGATCGGCAAAAAAAAGTTTTTTAATTTCACTCAAAATGAGTTACTTGGATCCTAAATGACCTAAATAGTCTGTCTGTCTGTCCGTCTGTAACACATTAACTCAAAAACCGCTGAACCGATTTTAACCAAATTTGGCACAAAAATACTGTGGCACCCGAGAATCTGGCCATTAGTTTTGGTGGGGTGTGGGGTTGGTAAGGGGGTATGGGAGGGGGTTAAACATTTTAAAAAATCGTAACTCCAAAATTACAGTAGCTAGCGAAACGCGGTTTTCAAATTAAGATTAGGAATAATATGTGCAACAAAATCCATACATATATAAAAGCTCAAAGGGTTTTTTGTCACATCCATCCCGCCGAAACTGCTTTACCAATCTTGATGATTCTTTTTTTAAATGAAAGGTATATATGCCTAGATTTGTTATGAAGTATTTTTAAATTGTCGAATGGCTATTT